GTCTGATGAAATGGGAAGTATCTGGAAGGTCATGGGAGAAAATAGTGGAAATTCTCCTTTGCTCTCAGATTATGCATTCCTCTGGGGTCAAGAACACTTGGAATCCAGGCTTAAAATAACAAGGGCCATGGGGAACAGACATAATTCCTTCTGTTCCATTAGACTCCGTCTATCCTTGTTAGTACTGAGTGATTAGAAAGGCATGGTTTAGTACTTACATGGACTTATTCACTGTTTTATCTAGACTGAGACTTGAAAACATTGTTATTAAAGATCTCATAGGATGTAGTTTTGCCTTTTTACTGAATATGGGTTTCTAGCCCCAAGCCCCATTTTCTTTAGATTTAGAATCAGAACTTAGCCTTCGATACCAAATGGGGAAACTTAAAGCGACAGCAGAGGTTCCTCTCCAAAGCAGAGTCTGATTCTCTGCTGGTCAGCTGTCCGTTGTCAACAGATTTCTCAGCTACTGCTTGAACGGTGGAGACAGGCAGAGATACCACCCTCTCTTCTCTTTTCTTTTTAGACATTTAAGTTCTCACCTCCAGATACCTAATAATAGGGATTTCAGACTTGACTAGTTGGAGAACTTTTAATCCCCCAGGCTGTTATAAAATAATCTTGTTCTTTTACTTTGAATTGTGAAGTTTTAATGGATTCTGTGATTGGCCAATCACATGAAATGTAGCTTGTATTTCTGCTTCTCCCAACTCACATAGAATCCTAGAGCTGGGTAAGACCCCAGAGGTCTCCTAGGCCAGCTCTCTCAATGCAGGCCTCTGTGGTAGAGTATCCCTGGATATCAGTTGTCTAGATTGTATTTGTTGGTGTGAAAAGAGCTAGAGGTCATAGTTTGCCTGCTCCATGAAGGTCTTACTGACCTCCTCTTGATAGCGAACTGAGAATCTGCTCTACAGCTTCTCCCCACTAGACCTGGTTTTGTCTTCTCTAAGTAAATCAGAATGATTTCTTTCTTCTTTCTTACAGCATCTATTTAAATATTTATGGGTAGCTTTCATGTTCCCTCTGAATATTCTCTTCCTCCCCAATTCCATCGAACACCTCTGGTTTTCCTATTCCTTCTAAACTGTTTTAACATTCTGGGCACATTCCTGCTTCGCTCCAGTTAGAAAATGTCTCTCTTAAACCACAGTACCCATCCTATTGAGATAGGTTCTGATCTTACGGGACACAGTTGAATGATTGCCTTGTTTGGTTTGAACATAGACAGTGTATGTGTTCATTCTTTTTTAGGGCCACTTATGACTCCTTTGACTCATGCTGGACTTTCAGTTAACTCATTTTTAGGGACTAAAGCCCTTATTAAAGCCTGCTATTAAATTCACATAAATTGTTGTTAAGATAGTTTTACACTTGAACAATTGCCTCTCAGTGTTGAAACCTGCTGGATTGCTTATCCTGGCCAAACTCGACAGCATCACTTTTGAATCCTTCTTTTCAGCTGGACAGCTACTTGAACTGTGATTCTCTCATCCAGCATTCAACCTTTCCTCCCAAATTTTGGTACCCTGCAAATATGGTAAATGTATATTTAAAAAAATACATACAATCCGTTAAGAGTAAGTAGAACCTCTTTGGCCATGATACTTGAGATGATTCTCTCAGGCAGGGTTTAGCCAGCTGTGGCCTAAGCCCACCTGGCCTCCTGTATTTGTAAATACAATTTTGCTGGCATCTAGCTGTGCTCGTTCACTTATATACTGTTTACAACTGCTTTTGTGCAAATGGCAGAGCTGAGTAGTTGCAACCCAGCTTTTTATAGGAAAAAGTTGGCTGACTCCTGCCCTAAGGCGAAAGCAGCTGGTAAATGAACACGTTTTATGTTCATGTAGATGCTGCATTCTGTTTCTAAGCAAGACTATCCAAAACCCTTTCCAAGGCTCATTAGTCAAGGTTTTTTATGACTTCTTTTTGTGGCTTGTTCAAGTATTTTATGGGGAAAAATATGGTTATATAATCTTATTTGTGGATTCTAAAATCACAGTCGATATTTGCTTTTTCTTTTTCTCTTCTAATGTACTAGTATTTGAAAGCTTATGTCCGTGTTACTACTTCAGCTGTCTCTTTCAAATTGGGGTACTGTTATCACCAGAAATTTCCTTTAGGGTTTTAGGGGCAGTCCTTGATTTGGTATTCATTTTTCACTGGGGAAGAAGAATCACATTTTGGCATTAGAACGTTTTAGTAACACTCATTACTAACAAATATTATATAATACTTCTGTGAAATTTATAAAAGGAACTGAGAGATTCCATGGAGTCTCCAGTCTATTTTGAGAAAAAGAAGAAAACAGTCCTCATTGCTCAACCAACATTGCCTTGCTGAAGATTTAGTTGCCACTCTGTTATTTTGTTCTTGAACAGAATGCTTAAGGTTCAGTTCAAAAGTTACATAACCAGATATTTTAAAGAAAAAAATGATAATTTTAAAGAAAAAACTTTCAATCAAAAAATTTTATGAAAAAATTGGATATAGTGGTATCAGAACCTTTCCTTACTCTGGATATTTCCTTGTTAACCTGCAAACAGTAAGACAGAAATCCCATATATTATTGTCCTACACTAGTGTTAGACCTTGGGAGTCAGATATTGCATCAAATTAATTCTCCAAGTGAAGGACATACTTAATGACCTAAAATTGCTCATGTGTAATCTTTGTGGCCTGGTCCTTTTGTGAAGCACAATGTTTCCTCCACAGTATAGAGTTTTAGGGCTCACATTTTAAAAGGCCTTTATATGTCTGTGTTATTAATGCCTATATCTAGCGTTTACAGGGCATTTTCTACGTCCTACTCTGATGGTGAATGGAGCCCGTTGGATCTCTTCAGCCTCCTCTGCTTATTTTCGGCTTCTTCAGCTGCGTTAGTGACACCAGGATTGCTTGCAGTTCTGTGTCCTGAGGTTGCCATTTTCCCTTCCTCTTTACTCTTAACTCTTTGCCTGAAGAACTCCGATGCCCTGTTTCGGGCTCAGGTCTGTTTTCTCCCCTTCCAGAAGTCTTCTCTCACCCAGTCAGCGTCTTCTGTGCAGCTTGCCTGTGCAGTGTGATGCTGATACATTTAGATCTCCTGGAAATGCTCTTCCCTGGGATGAACCTCACTGCTCACCTGCTCCCTGTGTTGCTAGAGAAAATCTCACAACAGGGCAGATGGGTGTCTTCACAGATTCCTGTTTACTTTATCTAAAGGGCCTGCAGGCTTGCCTAAGAATGTTCATGTTTCTCTAGGAAGTGCCCTACTCACTGTTTGAAGATTCTTTCCTTCATTCTCCTATTCAAACTTTCTCCTATGCTCAGACTCTCTTATAAGTGGCCTTGCCTTGTACTTCATGGAAAAAAGAACCATCAGGTAGCAGGTCCCCCAGCTCTCTTCATGAAATCTGCACGCTCATTTGTACTGATACTTGTGTTCTCCTTACATCCTGTTACAAGGGAGGGAAGGAGCCCTACTCCTGTGACAAGACAACACCCATGTGTCGGCAGCATCTCATCTCCTCCCACATTCGAAAATTTGAACCATCTTTTCTGGATTCTTCATGTGGGCATTTAGATGTTTTACTACCTTTGCGGTGTCTCCTAGAATCTCAGATTTAATGTAATTCCTTAGTGCTTGCTTCCAGTTGCTTTTCCTCAAAATTTTCCTATTTCAATAAAAGGTATTCTTATACAGTTGCTCATGGCAGAAATCTGGGAGTGACCCTGGAAACGCCTCCCTTTCCCACATTCTGTCTATCACCAGTTACTTTGATTCCACCTGCAAATATCTCTGAAAACGGTCTCCTCTCAATTTTTATTATCATGACCTTATTCCAACCCCGAGAGAATGTGCCATTCTAGAAGCCTCCTAGCACATCTTTCTCCTTCCAGTTTTCCTCACCTCTAATCTCTTTTTCTCAGAGAAGCCAGAGTAATCTTTAAAAGATCTAAATAATCATTGTATTAGTTCCCTGCTTAAAACCCTCCAGTGGCTTTCATCATGCCCCAAATAAAAGAACTCTTTGCCTGGGCCTACAGGGCCCTGCATGTTCTGGTCCCTTGCCTTCACTCTTCCCTTTCCATCTACTTCTTTGTTCTTTATGCCCCCAGCCACACTGGCTTTTTGCTAGTTACTATAATACACAGATTCCTCACCTTAAGCCTTTTCCACTCTGCTGGCTTCAGGCTGGAAACCATTTCCCTTCCTCTCTGCATCCCTAATCCCTGCTCATCTTTCAGATCTGAGCTTAAATGTCATTTCTTGGATGGAGCTCTCCCGAGTCGTTTTTTCCTTATAAATCCTCTAATAAATTCCTCACCTTAGCCCTACTTTTCTCCATATGAAGGGATTACTAGAATTTACTTATGCATTTACACATTTACTTATGCATTCACTTTTGCAACCTGTGTCTCCCGTGCTAGACAGTAAGTTCCAGGAGGGCAGAGACTGTACTAATTTTGTTCAGAGTCGTGTCTCCAGCACCTGGGGCTGAATGCTCAGCAAATACTTGTTTCATGAAATACAAGTTTATTGAGATGGCTGCTTGGGACGGGGAAGTCCCCATCTGGTACTTTTAGGCTCATACTTACATGATTTTGAATCTCTGCTTCTATCTTCTGTGCACTTGAGCAGCTCCTAGCCCCTGTGTTCCCAGCACGTCATGCTGGGCTGACTTCTTTCTTGAGTGGGCCAGCCACCGTGGAGGATGTATGTGTATATATACACATGCACACATGTGTGCGTGTGTATATATATGTTTATATGTAGGTTTATGTAGGAACACGATGTGGAAGCTAGGCAGCAACACTAGTGCTCATAGAAATGTGCCTTAAATTATTTTGAGATGTTGTGTGTGAGTTGGATCACTTTGAAAACGTATGGCAGACCCTCTCCTATCTGCTGGAGGCATTCCATATTGTTCTGAGTGGTTGGGAATTCCTGGTATGTGCTTTGTCCTTGCTCTGTTCTTTAGTACAAAGGATTTTCTGATTTGCCATTGTTGTAGGTCACACGGTCAACAATGTAAAGAGGATAAAATTAAAGTATTTTGAAAAGGATCCCTTTCCCTTGACTAGTTGTTGCTGTTAATTCTCTTAGTTCCCTATTGCCCCAGCTCCTTGATACCTAAGTGACAAATTGTCAGGGTGGGAGTGAGTAGAACCCTAGGAAGAGAGTTCAACTTCTAAGCCTCTCAAGTAGGCACAGTCACTTTGAGGATTCCCTATCTCACAGTATGAATGGTCTCTTTGGGAGAAATCCTTACCTAATGGAACATTGCAAAGAAGCCTTTGGTTAAATTCAGAATCCTTTCTTTTCCAGAAAAAATTATTGAAGATTTTATTTATTTATTTGAGAGAGAGAGAGAGCAAGAGAGCACGAGGGGAGTGAGGGTCAGAGGGAAGAAGGAGAAGCAGATTTCCCACTGAGCAGGGAGCCCAGCTCAGGGCTGGATTTCAGGACCCAGAGATCATGACCCGAACGGAAGGCAGATGCTTAACCGACTGAGCCATCCAGGTGCCCCAGAATCCTTTCCTTTTCTAAGTCATTTATGCTTTCTATAATTTAAAGCTTGGATTTCTAGGGGCTTTTTTTTTTTTTTTTTTGTAAAAAAAGGAATGGCACACTGTTGTATTTTGAGGTTTCCTTTTCTATCCTGAATATTTTTGATCTCCTGGAAATACAGGATGAGAAAACCACTACCCACCTGCATATTGTTAAATGCATTTTCCTTAGGTAATTATTCCCTTTTGTTTGTATTTTTAGCATTGTTTTTTGTATATTCTGTCTTAAAATGAAAAGCCCCAAACCAGCCAATATAAGAATGAGTGCAGTTGTGGTTGGACTCTGTGTATGGCTCCTATCATGTTGACTTTCCCCTTCTGTAACTGTTTCCCAGCACCCCCAATGTTTACTTTGTTGTGACTGCTTTGCTGATTTACCTTACATCCTCAGGAGGAATTTTCAATAAGACCAAGTGTATTTAAACTTGTAGCCACAGACCTAACCCTTTACATAATGTAGTCTGCTAACTAATAAAGGAATGTAATTGACTTGTAAATTTCTGAGGAGGGGGAGGGAAAAAAATCTCAAACAGAAGTGTCCTGTTAATGAATGTGATAGACCCCTTTGTTGTTTAAAGACAGCCCTCTTGCTCTTTCCCTGAAGAAAGAGCTGTGTTGGGGCTGCTTGTTGCACATTTCACTGGCACTTTGCCCCACCTCCTCTTCCCTGAAAATATTTACGGAGATCTAGCGTGTTAATAAATTTAGAAGTGATTTAATGGTTGCATTGGCAGGGTGAGATAAGGTAGTTAAAATATGTTGTTCATTTTATTTCTGGGTGGGGTCGAAGAGGGAAATGAAATACTGATTTTTTTCCTTTAGGGAAACCTAATACTGTGTTCTTTTGTTATCATTCTTGTTCTCTAGGCATTAAGTGTAACTGAAACCCTGATTAAACCCTTGGAAAAATTCAGAAAAGAACAACTTGGAGCCGTAAAGGTTTGTGTCTAATTTGAGCGCACTTGTAAGCGGACGATGGCGGTGCCTCCGCTATGTCTAGTGTACGCTTTAGTCGCATTTGGCAGCTTTGAAGGAGATGCTGGAGTAAACCATCTGTTGTTTTATGTTTTCAATGTGCTTTTTCCCCTTTCGGCGATACGAAATTGTAAACAAAACAAAAACACCTGGGCAGGATTGTAAAACCTCTAGTCATCTTTGGCTACACCTTCCGATACCGAGTTTTGAAAACATCCTTAACCAAACAGCACGTTCACTTGGAATAGAAGCATCTTACCTCTGTAGGGAATGCAGTTACTTCCTTGTATGCCTCAGTTTTATTGGAGGAGTGTAGCAGGATGTGAGGGTTTAAGATTAGAAACGCAGCTACACCATGATGCCATTGTGAAACTAGGAAGAGAATATTGGGTTATTGGGATGTAATTTCCTTCCATTGAACACAAATTTATTGAGCTTCTGTTATGTGCCAGTATTGTTAGGTGTCGGGGATTCAAAGATGAGTGACCCACAGGCTGCGCTCAAGGATCTGGGAGTTAGCCAGGATTCCTGGGAATAATATGGTGACTTGACCACAGGGAGCCTGGGATATATTTAGCAACTTCTAAAGTTTGTGAACTGAGCTTTGAAATTATCCCAGGGAAATAATTTCCACCAACCTTTCCTGAATTTTATGTATTCACTTGAGGGACAAAAAGTAACATTCGTGTGTTGACTATTTTTGGCTTGGCCCAGAAGAGAATAACATCAATTTTAGGTAGAGAAGAGAGTTTTTATATTTGTATTTTCCTCCCCTACATGGCTTGGGGATGTGATGCTTTTTTTCCTTTATCTTCCTAAACAAAATATTAAAATCCTTTTGTACAAATAAACATTGTGGCTTCAAGGGCTGTAGCTATAGAGTTGGGCCCAAAGAGCGCCAGCTTTTTAGTTGCTATTTATAGAATCCGTTCTCCTTTAAGTGACTTTTTAAAATATTAGACACTTCCTGTTGGCATACTATTTTACCGTTTTTAATGAAGGGCTGTGTTTTGAGAGGGGTTAGTGGGGGTACCCTCCAGGTCCTCTTCCTGGGATTGTTTGCGGAGCTGCATGAGGCTGACTGTGTCTTCTGGCTTTGCAGTAGGTCACTGGAGGTCTGCTTTCACACCTGTGACCTTGGGCAAGTCACTGCCTTTAGTTCCTTATCTGTAAAATGAGAGACCTGGGGATCTGACTGCTCTGCTTTGTAGTTTATGATTCTGTTTTAAATCTCAGACATCTTGGTTCTTTCTTTTTTTATACTTCATTGGTAGGTATGGAATGTAAATAGTGTCCATTTATTATTTTTCTTATTTTAATTGGATGAGGGTGGTGGTGAACGAGGATATATTATGGAAATGAAAAATGAATATGACTTAATATATTTTCTTTTTATTTGCCATACACCCTACTGTTTTTTTCGTTTGTTTTTTGTTTTTTTTTTTAAAGTAAACTCCATGCCCAGTGTGGGGTTTGAACTCACAACCCTCCCAGACCGTGCTCTACCAGCTTGAGCCATCCAGGCAGCCCCCTACTGGGTTTTCATAAATTTCTGACCTGAATTTGCTATTGATGGATGACTCCTCCCTCTGAAACTTTCCCCATTTCTGATGTTATACTTGTTCAGGGTATATCCTGTAAGTACCTGGCAGGATAGATTGCCATATTAAAAGAAGAAGTTATTTTAGTAGTTTTAGTCTATGCCTTGAGTTGTTTAGTGGCCAAATTCCAACCTGAAGTCTCTCTCTTTTTTTAAATTCCTTTGTTGTTCTCCTGGCTTTAAGTTTACAAAGGATATATCCCATGTTTTTGTTCTGTATAGTATGCGTATTGGCTCTCGCATCATTGATACTATTCGAGGAGGCCAGTCCTTATGGGTCACAGGGAGAAGCCCTTTTTTTACTGACAGTTTTATATGTTATAATAAAGAGTAGAGAAAGGTGATTTTCTAGATGACATAGTGCTACATAAACACCTGTTTCATTAGATTGTTCAGTTTTTCAGAGAAAAGACTGTGCTTTCCTTATTTTCTACTAGCCTCCACTCTGCCTTAATACATAAGGTATCTAATTAAATAACCTATTCTGATAATTCTAGAAGAACCTGGGGAGGGTTTGTGATCTGGATACTTGATTTTCTACATCTGTGCTTCCTAAATATTTAATCATGTTTTGACAAACATATTTTTGTTTCACTGGTTAATTGGGATACTTAAAAATAACTTTATTCTCATAGATAAAAGGTCTTTTTTTAAAAACAGAATAAAGCTTTTTTTAAAATTTTTTTTATTTTTGTGGGGATTAAAACAAAAAAAAGCCTTTAAAAGTTGACCATAGCAGAATGTTTAAAATATCCTTGTTAGGATGTTGATCTTCTCTTTCTCTTCTCCTTCCCCACCTGGCGTATCCTGCTGTCTGCCTTTTCAACTGGAGCTCTTTCTGTTCCTTTCAGTCTTGGTTTCTCCAGTTTCCAGAATCCTAGTGACATGTTCATATGGTGGTTTTCATGTGATCTAAACTGCTAGGTGGTTTTTGCAAGTTGGATTTTTTAAAAGCCCTGAGGTGGTATTTTCTACCATTTGCCTCTGTTTGGATTTGTTCTTCTTCTGTCCTGTTTGGTTTGGGCTTATTCCTCTGTTCTTGGAGGTTCTGCTGATTTTCTCGCATGCTTGCCAGCTCCTCTCTGTTGGAAAAATTCCATTTCCCCTCGCAGGACCCCCATCCTTCTGTGCTATGTCACATGAGGTGACTCGTCAGAGTTCCCTTCAAGGCCTAGATCAGTTTTTACTTCCTCTGCAGCTCTTTCCCCTTCCCCGGGGCTTCTCACTTCTCACTTGTGTCTGCACAACCCTTTATCCGTAGCCACTGCCCATTAAATGTCGAATTAGCCCCAGAGGACTAGTACAGGTACTGAACAACGTAGGAGCCTAGTCGGTTGTGTAAAATCTCCAAGAAATACCCCAGCTTGCTAAGACAGTGGGAGAATTAAAAATTGCTCTTTTAGGTATTTGAGCAATCCAGTAATGACAACGTGGCTTCAAACAAGGGGCAGCATGCAAGTATCAAGTAGATTCAATTAAACTATATTGATAATAGAGCCTATTCAAATGCTAGGTTGGAAAGAGCCCATTACCATTTTATTCCATGGAATAAACAAATGTAACCTCAAAGGGTTGAAAAAGATGTTCATTTCATATATTATAACTGCCTCAGCCATTCACTGACCCTCATGCCAAATGTCTTTTGTATTTCTAAGACTAGATATCTAATGACTGAATATTTAATAAAAGTTGATTTCCCAAGATTCTGTAAATGACTACAAAATATGGGTAAAAAGCACATCTATCTAAATAATCTCTCAAATCATGTTTGATAAAGAAGGAAAAAATGATTTAATATAATTACATTTCTTTCATTTTAGTTATAAAACACTTCCCAGTGCCTGTCCTATGGCAGGAGGCCCTGGGGTACAACTGTGAATTAAAACCCTGGCTGATTGGCCTTCAACTCTGGAGGAGAGATGTCAAATAAAAAAGCAATAAAAATACACTAAAAAGTGCTGTAATTGGGGTAGGCATAGGTGCTCTGGAACATGCCCTGTGATCTCAGCTTTGGAGTACAGGGCAAGTCTCTCAGGAAGACGTGATTCCTTCTTGTTTGAATCCCACTTCTGCCCCTTAGCTCGATGTGTGATTCAGGGCAAGTGACTTACGGCATCTAGCTCTCGATTTCCTGATCTTTAAAAGGAGACGAATGACCCCTGCCTCAGAAGGTTTTTGTGAGGACAGCATGAACGTGATGGTGTATTTCTCTAGAGTAGGGCCTGGCATACGTAGTTGCAATTTATTTTATTATCCCATTTACGCCTTATGCTGCAGCAACTTGCCAAACAAGACTCGCTCAGGTTTTTGTCCACTCTCTGCACGCAAGCTTCAGAGATAACATGCCACTGTGGCATGTGACCCTTCTGGCCAAGTAGTGCTGGCGCGATGGGTAGGTGACTCTGGAGCGACTGCTTGGGACCCCAGGGTGCCCGTCCACTTTGTTGTTGGTGGTGCCTCTGCAGCCACAGGCTTCCTCTTCCACTCCTCCTCTGGCGGGCATCTCCTGGGTGTGGAGTCAGTTGCTAGATTCTGTGGGGAGGAAAGCTGAATTCTCCTTTCTTTGGATAGGCTGATGGGACTTTACAGAAAGGGGGACAGTGGGGTTGGATCAGGCAACTGAAGTGTCAAGCAGGGATATAGGTGACACTTGGTGCAGGAGTTAAGGGGGGGTGCGGTTTTTACGCCCCCGAGTGGTAGGGGGGTGCTTCCTGGAAGAGGTGACGTTTCACCTGGGCATGTAGGAGGTTGGTAGAGCAGGGAAGGAGAACAGGGAAGGCAAAACTCTGGTTGGCTTGGATATCAGGATTGCATTTGAGAAGGTGTCCTGCTGAGTATATTACCTTACAATAAACAAGCGAATCTTGTTTCTTGAATGTGTGGTATTACTCCCATCTTATTTAAGTAAGGAGGGGGAAGAGTTGGAATATCTAAGAAAGTATCTAGTTCTCCAGACTAGTCATGCTTTATTATTTAATGTTTATAGTTGTAAAATAAGCCTTTTCATTTCCTCATCCTAGGAAATTTGTAAAATAACCAAAGCGTTTTAAAAAGATCATCTGGGAACTTTAAAAACTGCCCTCCCCCTTCTTCTAAAACAAAACAAAAAAATTCTAGTACCCTAAAGAAATGTGGACAGTTCACAGTAAATGTTCAAGTTTTTGTGAGTTCTTTATATGTTCCTTATTCATTTTTCAATGGAAATATTATGTGATTTTAGCAAAAAAATGCTTAATCTTAAGAATGTTTTATACATTAAAAATACTTGCTTCTTTTCTTATATATTAATTGCCTCTTCTCCCTGCTTTGTTGTTCACCTTTTAGCTTGTTTATTGTGGGGTTTTGTTTTTTTTTTTTTTTGGATATTTAGACGTTCTTATGGCTTCTCCCGTTTCTTTTTTTGCTCAAAAGTATGCCTCTGTTCTGATATCTGATGAAACTGTTCTTTTTTATGGCTTCATTTTTTACTTGTGACTCTTTCAGTCCATCTGGAATTAATTTTGATATGAGATGTGGTTCTCTGTTTCCAAGTAGTTAACTAATTATATCAACACTGTTGGCTAAGTATTTTTTTACCCAGTGAATTATGATAAAACCTTAATATATATATATATATATATATATATATATATTTACTTCTAACATATTCAGAAGACCTGATTACTCAAGTTTTATTTCTTAGGTTTCTGAATTTCCTTTACCATTTATACAGCATACATCTTATTTGGTTAAGCTGTTTTAAATAATAGCTGTTGTTTAGTTTTTTGGGGGGGGGCATGGGTGGTTTTGTAACAGATTACAAACTGACTTTCAGTGAGTCATATTTAACCTGTAGACATAATTTTGCTTGGCTTACTCATGTGAAAATGTAAAAACAAAACCAAAACCAAACTATCGCCATCATTTAAAAATCTTTGGATTTTTCAGAGCTATTCCAGAAAAATCTAAGGACATGGTTTATATACTAGCCTATATTCCCACATGGTAAAAATCTGCTGGAGCCATGATATGGCCACCTTCCCCTCTAGAATAGATGTGGGCGATCTGGTTTTCCATTGCTCCCACCTCTCCTTAATGAGTTCTGTCTTTCTTCACTCATTGCACCCGGCTCAGAATTACTTGAATTTGTACTGCTGTTTTATAAAAGAAATTTTCATTGTATTAAATTTGATTCTTCATAGAACCTTTTGTCGTAAGTTACTCAGTTTATTATATATATATGTATATATATATAAATCCACACACATCTACGTATGTATGTCTGTCAGATGTAGCAGTGTTGAAGAAAAAATGCTGTTCTTTATTGGATGCTACTTGAACATAGTCCCTTTTAAAATTCTCATTATTTCAGCACAAAAGCCCTGTAAGCACAGAGAAACAGAATACTATTCTATAATGGCATTGAGAACAAATGCAAAAAGAAATAATTATTTAAGTCTTCAGGTTTAACAACAAAACTGCTTTTGTATAACGCCATACCATGTGTGAACAAATGTTGTTTCCTCTCTGTTGGTGCATGGAATGTTGTTTCTTGGCTGAATTCCTTCTTCACAAAGCCTTTGATACCCCCGCTTTCTTTCATTCTCAACTTTACCCACGTGTTAACTTACAAACTGCACAACTGCTGAGTGTGCTGGGTGTTTTGACTGCTGATTTTAGCATCACTGCTTCCTTTGTCCCCTTCTGTGATTCACATGAAATCAAATGAGTAAAAATATTTTCAGTCTTCCTGGTAAGGATGAATCTGCGAGGATAGCGAACGTTTGTTCCTATACGATCCTGCTTTGCAGTCCTCTTGTGGTGAATGCAGTGGCGGGACTTCTCTTCCTGTTTTGTTTCAGCTCGAGAAGTGGGATCCCCAGAGAACGCTGGGACACTTGTGTGTAGTCACAGTAGAAAGTGGCCCGGACCAGGACCTGTCTTCTCACCCCTAACCCAGTGTGCATTCCACCGTAACAACATTTTAAAATAGTGGAGATTCTGAAATGGTGGCCACATGTTTGTTTTATGTTATTTTTTTGTTAGTCACCAAAATAGTTGACGAAGAGTGTAGTAATAAAAAGCAGAAAAGAAGGTAACTGTAAATTAATGCCTTAAACTTTTTTTTTTAATAGTTGTAAATTAAGAGCATAAAGGAAAAGTGCTTCTGTTTCAACAAAAGTGTGACTCTTGTCACACATAGGGGAACCTTTGGGTCGCAGAACTTTAGGATTGGATCAAAGAATGAGCTAGTACCACCCCCCCCCCAAAAAAAATCCCTTATCTTTTCAGTAAGAGAATTTAGATTCTGTGCTGTTACATTTGTTTTTTTTTTCCCTAAGTTGTGCAGCTAGAGTGTAATTAAACTTGGAATACAAATGGGAAGAAATGTCTCTTCCGGACCCTGCCTGTCCTCCCTCAGTGTGGAATGAGTTCGGGATCTTTGGATGAGCCAGCAGAGGCTCTGTCCTAGGTTTCCACACAGCAGTTTGTAGTCCTGTGTTGTGAAAAAACAATGATAAATGTGAAGAAATAGACTTTTCATGCTTTGTTCAGTCTGTTTACCTGCTAGGAAAAAGATTGTATCAGAAAAGATTATTTTTGCTTTAGAAGATAGAAGTTGGAAAATAGGGAAGGGAATGTTCCTTTCCAGGAGCCCTTGGAAAGTTAGGGAGAATTTGAAGTTAACGGAAACATTTTGACAGTATGAGGACATAGTGTGCTCTCATTGGTGCTCAGAAATGTTTATTAAAAATCCACTTAAAAAAAATCCACTTAGGGGCGCCTGGGTGGCTCAGTCGTTAAGCATCTGCCTTCAGCTCGGGTCATGATCCCAGAGTCCTGGGATCGAGCCCCACATCGGGCTCCCTGCTCTGCAGGAAGCCTGCTTCTCCCTCTCCTACTCCCCCTGCTTGCGTTCCCTCTCTCACTGTGTCTCTCTCTGTCAAATAAATAAAATCTTTAAAAAAAAAAAAAATCCACTTAAATTGGCAAACAGTGTTAGGGGAGATTGTCTTTTCTGTATTTAACAATTAGGATACTTGTTTTTTCAAAAAGCTTCTATAGCAAAAGAAAAGCAAATGCTAGTTCTGGACAGTACCAGAGAAATGTTTGTAATGCTCAACCAAAGAATCTCAGTATGAGGATGTCGGTGTTACTTTAGGCCCTGTTGACCTATTGATATATATTCTCAGTGGTGTTATAGAAATCACTGCAAAGGTTTTGGAAAGGAGATGACATTTCTGATCAGAGGGTCTTATTATTAAATTCACACTGGACAGTTAAGGGAAATCTTTCCCAAGGTTTTTTTTTTCTTCACCAATTGTGATGATGATTATTTTTTTAATCTAGACCAAAATTTACTCAGTTTTAAAAGAATCCCATTTCTTTGCCAAAATCTGCACAAGTTTGCTGTTTTAAGCCTGTGTTCTTCTTCTTCTTATTTCTTTTAATGAGGGACAAGTGAGATGGCATTATTTCTAAACACTAAGTAGAAGTATTGAAAAATACCGTGCTCCGTAAAAAGCCCATTAAAGGAAAAAGAGAAAAAATATGTGACTCTTCAGTCCTAACACTGAAGATGATTAATAAGCAGTGGCCTGGGTACAGATAGATTTTTCAGATAGCTTCATCACACTTAGTGGTACTTTATTTATTTTTAGATTCTAATCTTATTTTGAGCTTCTCAGTAGATAAACTGTATATATATGCATTTTCCCCGTTTAATCATAGTTGTCTGTGTTTTCTGACTTGTAGGAAGAAAAAAAGAAGTTTGACAAAGAGACGGAAAAGAACTATAGTCTAATTGATAAACATTTGAATTTATCAGCCAAAAAGAAAGACTCACATTTACAAGAGGTATTGTTTTTACTTTTCTGTTTGTTTCTAAAATTCAATAAGCAGTGCATGCCTTTTTAAAATGTGCTTTTCTTTTGTAAACTTTTCATCTAGGATTATTAGGGATGAAAAAAAATGAACAGGTATCATCATGAATTAATAAAAGAGTTCTTGTGGAATAAGACACAAAATAATGAATACATCTTACAGTGATTAATTCAATAGAGATTCATAGTATTAACATTTTTGGTTCTGAGTATATTTTCACAGGAACAATTTTATCTGGCATTACTGAAGAACAGATACATTATTTTCAGGAATAGACTCATTAATTGGCTTTCAAGATTTTTTGAAGAAATGAATTTAATAAGCTCATCTACCATTTTGCTTTTATGTGAAGGCAGCATTAATCTTATTTAACACTGAAGATTCATGAGGTTCAGCTTCATTGGAAGGAGAGCCTCTGTTATACTTGTGTTAATAGACTTTTTTTTTTTGGAGGGAGCCGTGAGTAAGGAGAAAGGAATTTATATCTTATCTCTCATTTCGTCTTTCTCTTTTCTAAATTCCCTGGCACTTGGGTTTTCTCACTCACACACTTGAGTGGAAACTCAGTGGTTTGCAATTTGGAACATATGTTTTCATTAAAAATAATGCTGTTTTGAAGCTGTTGGGATCTTGACTCATCCCACAAAAGTGTGATATTTTTCTCATTTGTTTATTTTTAAACACATAAGGAATCTGGGCATAATATACCACTATAATATACACTTATTGAAGGATCATCAAAATGACACAACATTGGCTCCAGTATATTTAAATGCCAGATACGCAGTCGCACACCCTGTGTATGTGTGGTCATTTTGACATTCCCCACATGTCACATTTACTTTTTCCTCTTTAATGACTTTAACTGACGTTTGGAAGGTGTTTGACAGTTTATAAAAGAGAAGGGAGGGGCGCCTGGGTGGCTCAGTCAGTTAAGCATCTGCCTTCGGCTCAGGTCATGATCCCAGGGTCCCGGGATCGAGTCCCACATCGGGCTCCCTGCTCAG